TGGAAAAACTCTGGGTCTGAAAGACCCAGAAATAGGCTGAAACGGAGTAGGGCCTGCAGGCCCTCGTTTTTCAGTTTTCAGGCTGAAACAACCGGAGCCTGTAGATCCTAAGTTTTAGGCTTTTAGGCTGAATGTCCGGGACGGGTCCTACAGGGCCCGTGTGGCTACGCAGTATGCCACAGTCCATAGCCAGTAGGGGTTAGACGGCCATAGCCGCTGTAGCTTAGAGATAGAGAGTAGTGCGTGAGTGTGTGTGTTTGGGTACAGGGTTGTGTGCGTGGGATATCCAGGGTGAGTCAGAGATGAGTGTGTGAGAACAGTTGGGTGAACACAGTGTTGGACAGAGGATGTGTGGGCGCTCAGGCGCCATAGCCAGTTGGAAGCGAGTTTGTATCTGAACTGTGTTCTCGGCTTGATTATCCCTGAGCGTTGTGTCGGCGCACAGCGCCAGTGTGAATTGCCATCTGTTTGCATGTATGCGAAGTGAAGGAGAAAGCGAGTCTGATTGCATTCAATCTCCGGCATCTGAATTTTTTGAATTGCGATAGAATCTCTGAATTTTTGGGAAAAAAAAACAACTTTTGAGATGATGAAATTTGAATTCTGAATTTGACAATTTCACAATTTCTCCATTTCCCGTAGAATTGATGAAATTGACCCAATATCGTGAAATACACTGAAATTTTGGGAATTGCAGTCAATTTGAAGTCAGAACCCATGAGCCTTGGGCATTGGGCCCTGGATAATAAARRCTTCTTTTTTCTTCCCCCYYCCCCCCCCCCCCCCCCCCAAAAAAAAAAAAAAARAAAAAAAAAGGAACCCACTTGTGTTTATTTAACTTTATTATCTGTTTGGTCAAATTCTAATTTTATAAAATCATTTAAACTATAAATGTTTTCTTGAAATGGACTCTACGAACTTTGCGAATGAGTATAGCACAGTCAAGATACAAACAACAGTCCACGTTCAGGCCCTGTTAAAAAAAAAAAAAAAAAAAAAAAGAGGGTGACGGCCTCTAGATATCGTCCTTGAGCTGACTGCCCCCAGGTGATTCAGAATTAATTTATTCTGTTCATCTGATTCCATCTGGATTCAATGACTGCCCCCAGGTGATTCAGAATTAATTTATTCTGTTCATCTGATTCCGGGTCTGCATTTCAACAGGTCATTGGGTGTACCGACTGAGCTACACGCCCATTGGTCCTTTCTTTTTTTTTTTTTAAATTAACCTCAGCTTATTTTGAACACAGGAGACTGTCCTCATACACTGAGTACTCGAGAAGAAAGAAAAGAACAATCACCCGAAGTCTCAAACCAAACGACGAAACAGAGCGAAAAAAAGGGTGGAGGAAAAACAGCAATCAACACAGACGAGGTTCGCTGCATCTTAGCATTGGCTGCATTCTGGCAAATCTAGATGAAGTGCAAGTTGCGCAGCTCCTCCCGGGGGCATGACCGGTACGCCCCAACGCGTTTCTCTCAGTCCAGCACTGTCGCATGCCAAATGGCGCAGACCAGAACCAAGAACCGACCTCTCAAAGATGGAGCAATGATAGCACAGCGGAAGACTGAAATACCACCATCATCATCATCACACAGTGTGAGAGGCCTGGCACATAACACAGAGACGAAGCGCCAGGCAGATGATCATACACGGATGAGGACAGGGGAGGAGAGACGAAGGTGGGGGAGATATGGAGAATGTCTCCAACTCAAAATGTCGTCGATACTGATCCAAAAGTAGTCCCACACAATGTCTCTGTCCCAATGTCAAGTCTGAATCCAACTGTCGCCAAATCCCAATGTCGCAAACATGAAGTACAGTCTGCTCTCAGTGCCGAACGACCCCAGTCTCTCTCTCTCTCTCTCTCTCTCTCTCTCTCTCTCTCTCTCTCTCTCTCTCTCTCTCTCTCTCTCTCTCTCTCTCTCTCTCTCNCTCTCTCTCTCTCTCTCTCTCTCTCTCTCTCTCTCTGCTGCAGTGTACTGCAGCTGTGCTAGGCTAGTGCCGAAGCCCTACCGCTATCGTCGACTACAGCTACTACTACGAAGAGTACCCCTGTGCTAGCTGCGCGAATGCCTCTGCGAATCCTCTCTCCTCCTAGGCAGACCTGCTATATATAGCGCTGGTCCGACTGGGAGGCTGCTCTCCCCAGTGCCGAACGATGCCAGTATCTGGTGCCCAAAAACTGGCGCCTAACTTGGCGCCCAAATTCGAACTCGTTTCGGATTTGAAACAAAGTCTGGTGCCAAAACCTGCGCCAGGGCCTTCTCCAAACGGGGTCTACCGACCTATCTGGCGCCCACAACCTGGCGCCTAATTTGGCGCCCAAATTCAAACTCCTTTCGGATTTGAAACAAAGTCTGGCGCCAAAACCTGTGCCAGGGCCTTCACCAAATGGGGCCTACCGACCTGCGGAAGTATGGGCCCTAAACTGGCCCGAAACGACACAGGGCCTAACTGGACATAAGTACCCCCTAACCACCCCTAGTCCTACCTGGTCAGGCCCGGTAGGGCCCGTGTGGAACTCAGAATGCCACAAGCACCCAGCGTCTTCAGGGGATCTTCAGGGGATTGTAGACAAGGGAGAGAGAATTAACTCTGAGCCTAGCCACATATTTATACTTCCATCAGACATCCTACTCCCTATCTTACCCTTCCTATTGCTACCGGTGGTCCCTTGCGGTCCGCCCCTGGTGGTCCCTTGCGGTCCATCCTCGGTGGGGTCCCTTGTGGTCCATCCCCGGTGGTCCCTTGTGGGTTACCTTCTTCCCCCAAATATAACGTACGGTCATTATCGATGTATTTAGACTGAAAGATACCCCAAATACAGCTGTAATGACCGTACGTTGTAGTCGGGGGAAGAAGGTAGTCCATTGTGGTCCATCCTATTGCTACCGGTGGTCCATGATCCTAAAAACTAAAAATTAAAACCAGCAGTTAACGCTGGGGTCGCGACCGCTTTGGACCTCACGACAAGTCTTATACTAGGGTGAGAACCAGTTCCAGACCCTTTGTCAGTGGGCCGGTTGGTATGGTCCCGGCACCCGATCCACCGCACCGGTCTTTTCAGCGGGCCGGTTTCCGGAGCTTTTCTTGCGTCAAACCATTCTGAGAACCCGCCGAAATATCCTTTCAGGGTACCCCTGGGGAGAGGTCCCCCTTGCGGAGATTACCAGACACCTGCCGTTGATCTGCGTCATCTACGGCTTGAGATCTGTTAGCCAGCCCGTGCAAATGGGACCGTGGAGGCACATTTCCAGTGGAGTTCGAACTCAGGTCTATATGTTAACAGTTCACGCTTCGGTGTTAGCAGGCACATTTTCCGCTTACAAGGCTACCAACGCATTTTCCACCCTCTGAAAACTTATCGCTCAAAGCGCTTGGAGCTCAGATTCAACACAAGAACATATTGTAGTGTTTTACTCATCTTCCGCTTCCAGTGGAGTTCGAACTCAGGTCTGTATCTCAACAATTCAGGGGTGTACCAACTGAACCAACTGAGCCAGGCCTTGTTGGTCGCAACAACATACTTGCAAGGTGCTGCGCTATGAAAGAAGGAAAAAGTCAAAAAGTGCTGTGAAGGAAATTGTTACAAATGGTATTCCAGGCTGGTTGATGATAATGGTGTTTCGGGGAGAGAGAGAGAGAGAGAGAGAGAGAGAGAGAGAGAGAGAGAGAGAGAGAGAGAGAGAGACATCATAACGATAGTTATCATCATCAATCTTGCTGCAAAATGGGGAGAGAGAGAGAGAGAGAGAGAGAGAGATTATCAGTTCGATGCAATTGACTGGGTGGTTGGTGTTTGCAGGGTTGTGACAGATCATCTCGATCAGGCCGTGACCAGTGTGAGCCTATCGAATGACGGGTATTGCGTTCTTGCAGGATGCCTGGACAGCAAGCTCAGGCTTCTTGATAGGTAGGTAGCACGTATCTGGGAGTACTTTGTATTTTTGTATTTTGTTTTCTGAAAAAGTATTTTGTTTTTTGTATTTTGTTTTCTCGGGAAGATTCTCCCGCCCAGACGCCCACCCGGGCGACATGCTCGGGCAGGGGGCATGCCTGGGGTATATGGGCACGCGGAAAAGTGTGCTCCTTTTTTTTCAATTTTTGGCAGTGGGGGTTTTCCGCACTTGCCCAGATCTGGGGCTCTTTTCTGTTTTGAATGTTGGTTGTCCAGGGGGGGAAGGGGGGTATAAATTGGTTTTGAAGGGGCTAAAGAGGTTTAAGGGGGGTGCCTTAGTCTTTTTTT